GTAGGATCTTAACTCTTGTTTATGTCCATTAGCCTATGGTAAAATTGGTTTCCTCATAAGTCGTTCCATTGAGTCCCAAGACCCTATGGATGATGTTAAGTGAGGATGTACTGTAGTTTCCAGAACTGAAACTGACAGAATGAGAATAGTTTTACTGCCAGTCAGGTAAACAACTTTAAAATCCTTTGAACTCTTCTATTTTATAGTCCTTGAATTCAATAAGCTTTTCTTTCAAATTACTTATAAATATTTTAAAAAATTTTTTTTTTCTCTATTAATTTTGAGAGAGAGGAAGGGAGAGGGAGAGAGAGATGGAAACATCGATGAGAGAGATCAACTGGCCGCCTCCTGCATGCCCCACACTGGGGATTTGGCCCAGGAATCGAACCGACAACCTCTTGGTGCATGGGTCCATGCTCAACCACTGAGCCACACTGGCCAAGCGTAAATATTTTTTTAATTGAATAATCTCATTTAACTTTTGTGTCCGTATCTTTTATGCTGCCATATCTATTCCACGATCAAGTTGGTCCCTTTTCCCTTTCCACCACCTCTACAGCTGGGGGAGGGAGCAGCAGTAAAACTAGACAGGTATGTGGGTGACACGGAAGGAACCCTCCGCGCTGGTCTCACGCTTCAGGTGAATGCAATGCAGGAATTCCACGTCAATTTGATGACTGATTTAGTTGCTCCGTGGGGGGTGGGGACAGCAAACCTGCAGTCCCCCACTCCAGGATTGCATGGGGAAGTAGAGATGGCTGTCTGGACGGTCTGAGCACCCCTAAACACCTCAGTGAGTTTTGGGGCACAGCCAAATGTTTTTTGTGTGGCCTAGGGTGAAGTAAGTGGCCCCTGGGAGCTGAAGGACCTGGCAGGAGCAGAGGACTTATGCTTGCGATGACTACTGATTATGCAGCTGGAGACCATGGCATCTCCATCAGATGTCAGACAGGGAAACACCTGAGCCAAAGACTAAATGAGACCGTTTCCCTTCGATGGATGCCAGGGAAAAACACAGGACAGCCACTGATTAAACATCTCCCCCTCCCTCCAAGAAGCCTCAGTAACACCAATCCATTCTGGGGAAAAGTGGAAAATTCTGAATTAACTCCGCTGAAAGGATAAATTATTTTGTTTATATAGAATTGACTATGGTAACATTTGTCTAGCTATCAAAAGGAATGGACTCTTAAAATGAAAATGATTTATATGAAAATAAAGTTCTATTTCTTGGAAAAACATAATTTGTGGGCTATTGACTTACCGTGCTCACTCAGGTAAGGGAAAACAATCAGACCTTTTACCCAAAGTCTCCATCACTGCACCCTGCCTAGCTCTATCCCCTCAATTCTATTTCAGCATTGGGCAGTGTTTCTAACTGCAGTGATTTTTTCCTCCAGGGCATTTGGCAATGTCGGGACACATTCCTGGTTGTCACACTAGGGGGTAAAGTACAACTGGCATTTGGTAGGTAGAGGCTGGGACGCTGTGCACCATTCTACCATGTACAGGACAAAGAATTCAGCCCAAAATGTCAATGGGGCTAAGGCTGAGAAACCCTGGAGCAGATGAACATTAATCTTGACCAGTGGGTGGTCGCTGAGGATGCCCACGTAGACAAGGCAGATGGAGATATGGGAAGGTAACTGGGCTAGAACTACTGAAAATATTTTTTATAAAAATAGTTTTTCTTTATTTATTTTAGAGAGAAAGGAAGGGAGAAGGAGAGAGAAATAGAAACATCGATGAGCGAGAACATCGATTGGCTGCCTCCTGCATGCCCCCATTGGGGATCAGGTCCGTAACCTGGGCATGTGTCCTGACTGAGAATCGAACTGGTGACCTTTTGATGCATGGGTTGACGCTCAACCACTGAGCCACACCAGCCGAGCATGTTTTCCTTTCTTTGCAGAGACTAGATTTTTCAATTCTGACATTCAGAGCAGGGGAAGAGAAGCTTCCTCCTCGAGATCACAAGTGGAGTCCTCAAAAGACCCTGCTCCACTCAGGGGTCCTGAGGAATGCAGCCCACTCGCAGGCTCCTCAAGTTGAGGCCCTTCGCTAAGCCCTGAGTCTGGGATCCTATATTTCTTTCTTTTTTTTTTAATCCTCACCTGAGGATAATTTTCCACTGATTTTCAGATGGAGGGGAAGGGAAGGAGGGAGAGAGAGAGAGAGAGAAAGGTCAATTGGTTGCCTCCTGAATGACCCCAACCAGGGCCAGGGATCAAACTACAACCGAGGTATGTGCCCTTGACTGGAATTGAACCCAAAACTCTTCAGTCTGTGGGCTGACACTCTAACCACTGTGCCAAACCAGCCAGGGCTGGGATCCTACACTTTTGTGTAGTGGAGTAACAGAGTATAATAGTTAAAAGCACAGGCTTTGAATTCTGAGTAAAACTCAATGACCACTAGCAAGATTGCTAATTTCTCCATATTCTGAATTCTCATCAAACAGAGCGAAGGCTAGTATCTATGTCACAGATGCGTTAGATTCAGGTTCAGCTCCTTGGTGGATATAATCGGTAAATTTCCCCTACGCTGGGGAAAGTTTTGCTCACCTTTACATTTCTCAGACAAATTCTTTTTTTAATTTCTTTTTTTTTTTGGTTAATCCTCACCTGAGGACATTTTTCCATTTATTTTTAGACAGAGTTGAAGGGAGGGAGGGAGGGGCAGAGAGAGAAACATCGATGTGAGAGAGACACATTGATTTGGTTGCCCTCCAGACCAAGGCTGGGGGTCGAACCTGCAACCCAGGTACATGCCCTTGACTGGGAATTGAACCCATGATGCTTTGGTCCTTGGCTGATGCTCTAACCACTGAACAAACAGCCAAGTCATCACACAAATTCTTATGAGAACCAAGAAGACACATGCACCCCCACCTGTTCCTGACTCGCCACACTGTGCTGATGCCACATTATTCAGCACTCACTTGTCATCTGCAGTCTTTTACTGTTTTCTAATGGTTTTGACTTCCTGGGTCAGATACCATATTGGACTTCTTTAGTATTTTCCATAGTGATGCATCCATTTGAGCGTGTGTCTGTGTGTGTGTGTGTGTGTATATACATGTGTACACACATGCATGTGAATAAACTCTGTAACGAGATAGCCTAGTTTTCAACCCTGGCACCTGCTCACTAGCTTTGTGACTTTCATATCAATAATATGGAGATGATAATGCTAAATACCTCATAGCATTGTTGTGGATTAAATAGTGTAATATATGTAAAATGCTTTGGACAGTGTCTGGTATTTTTTAAAGCCATATAAATGCTAGGTATTGTCATCGTCTCTCTGATCATCATCATCATCATCATCATCATCATCATTTTCTGGTTCATGTTAAGTTCCAAATACTTACTAGTCAATGGATCTTTTGATATTTTTGAGGGTGAGACTGTATCTTACTTACCTTCCTTTGCCCATAGTCTTGACCTGGAAGCATATTCAGTTTCTAACATAGGAACCTGTTTTCCAAGGCGGGCTTCGTTTTACCCTCCAGACTGCTAATAAGTGAGCTATTTTGGGCAGTAGGCCAAACACGAAAAAGGTACCACTACTGACTACTCTCTCCTTGTGCCATAATTTTGCTAACAACCTTTTTTAATCATAGTTTTAGCAACTGTTGTGTCAACATATTAACTTAAAAGGAGTCGTCTTTGAAGAATGTACTTCAAAGGTAACTCTCCCCCTACCTTTCTCCCTATCCCCGGGGCCTGATACAGGGAGTGTAACCAGTATTTGGTTGCATTGGCTCATGCTTACGGGGCAATTCCAAAGGTCGTTTCAGCAGCCACTTCATTCAAAACTAGAGCAGACCAGGTCCCCACACCCTCGTCATCATTCTTTCCAGAAAGATTTCATGACTCATTTTATTAAAAATCAGCCCTAGCCGGTTTTTCTCAGCGGTTAGAGCGCTGACCCATGCGTTCAATTCCTGGTCAAGGGCATGTACCTCGGTTGCAGGTTGGATCCCTGGCCCGGAGTTGGGGTCATGTGGGAGGCAACCAATCAATGTATCTATCTCACATCCATGTTCTCCCTCCCCCTTCCCTCTCCCCACTCTATCTAAAAAAAAAATCAATGAAAAAATATTCTTGGATGAGGATTTAAAAAAAATCAATCTATGACTATTTAGCAGCTTTTACATCATTAGTGAAACACCAGAGACTAAATTTGCAGCTCGTAGGGAGCCACCCCACAGAGTTTAAAACACAGGAAGAAACTCCACTTGGTCGAGGCTGCTGGACACTGCAATGCATGGAAATATGTACCTCTCATTTGATTCATCTCTAACAGAATTGGAACAACAGGATTCAATCAAACCTAATAAACATATAATTAAATAACTGCTGGGGGCAGAAGCGCCGGGCCAGATGTCTGGGGTATACAAAGATGGATAAGATAGGGACCTGCCTCAAGGCACTAACGGATGGGTGCGGGGGAGATGGGTGTGGGAATGCAATCAGAGAAACCTTCCTCAGGAAGATAGCCTCTGAGATAGGCCTAGGAAGTTGAGCAATATTTCAGCTGGTGAGGATGAGAGAGGCAGCACCTGGCTCTCAGGAATCATATTTATAGGAGGTGGTGTGTGAGGGGGAGGGGCATGGAAGCACAGCTCAGGGCTCCATGGGAATGAATGCTGGCATGGGGAGGTTCACAGCCTGCAGGGAGTGATGCTCAGGAACTGGGGGCGGGACAGTGGAAGAAGAGGGAGAAGAGATGGGAGACGTGAGAGAAGCCTCTGAAGACACCTAGTGCCTACTCCACGCTGTGGTCCAGCTGCTGCTGCTGCTGCCTAGGAGAGAACTCTGCAAGGGCAGCACCGCTCCATGGCCTTGAGCTTCACGAAAGTACAAAGGGCTGGGCCCAGGTCCTTATTGTTATCTGCAAGTGTTGTAAACGTTTGAGCAAACAGCAAATTACTGAACACTTCAAAGGAAGGATAGAGGATTTGAGAATAGTTCTTTGTGTGTTTTCATTCGCAGATTGAAAAGAGCAAATTGTACCTTTGGAGATGGGTAAACCACTCTCTTTATCTGAATATCTCAGCTGTTCTCCCCACAATACCCATCCTCTCACACCTCCTCCTGCCAAGAATCGGGAGAATCTCAGGAACAGCACTCCACTTCAAGCGTGGGGATGTGGGAAGAGGCGGCCCTACACCTCACTCTTGGCAGCGGCCTGAGCAGCTTTCCAAGTTGAAAGGAAACCGAGAAAAGATGGCTCTTTCTTTTGGCCTCTGGCACGACCCACTCCCTGCTCCAAGGCTGTGTTTTGGTATGTGGGGTCAATCATACCTGGCAAATCACCACAAGTAACAGTCCTCAGCAGTACAGTAAGTATATGGTTTAAGTTGATGAAATGATATTTGTGTATGAAGATGCTATTACTTTGCAGACAACTGCCCATGTGTAGCTGAAAACAAGCCAGCAAACCTACAGAAAGCCTAGCCTGTGACTCGTATTCTTTCTCTACTATTGGCTCTGTGGCTACAGTCACAGCTTCCAGATGGTTGACATTTAAGCTGTCCTGCATGGCTTCAGAGAATGCTGGGGACCTTTGCTCACTGGGAACCGCACGGCCTCTCCCCACTCAGGCCGGACCCTATGGGGTGCGGCTGCAGAAGGTCCTCGCTGGTGCCTTCGGTCTGGGAGTCACAATCCCACAAACCCTTCCAGCATCTCCCTGTGCTATCTCCCTGCTGGAGTTCCTGTCACTGTGAGCCCAGCGCCTTGACTCCGCTTGACAAAATAAACTCTTGGGCATCAAAATGTATAATAAACCATCTCCCGAACCGTATCAGAGGAAAGAAATTGATAGCCTCCTTCCTCTGTCCCCTCTTCCCCAATCCATTGCCAGGGGTCTGTTTTAAGCATGCTGGGTCACATCCCACTAGTCTGAGGGTTTTTTTTATCCTCACCCTAGGACATTTTTCTATTTATCTTCAGGTAGAGAGAGAGGGAGATAAAGGAAGAGAGAGAGAAATATTGACGTGAGAGGGACACATCAACTGGCTGCCTCCTGCACGACCCTGACCAGGGCTGGGGATGAACTGCAACCTGGGCACGTGCCTTTAGCCGGACTCATTGGTCCGAGGCCGATGCTCTTCCGCTGAGCCAAGCTCGCCAGGGCTAGTCTCAGCTTTAAGCTAGGCACAAGGTAGGCCCTCTAAATGCATGCTGATTTGGAAATGCCTCTACTTATTTGACTTTTCAGTAAAGCACTTAGAATGATAGCCTCCGAAAAGCAGCTTATGGGAAATGTCCTTCTAAACAGAGTTGTGATTGCAATTCCTCCTCCTCTCCTCCCTCCCTCCCTCCCTCCCTCCCTCCCTTCCTTCCTTTCCTCCCTCCCTCCATTTCCTCCCTTCCTCCCTTCCAGTCCTTTCTTCCAGTCTTTTCTTCCTCCTCTTTCTTTTTCTCTTTTCCCTTCTCCTTCTTCAATATACAAACACTGGTCTCTCCCTCCCAGCCCCTTCGGTTCTTTGTCACGCGTGTTCCTGCTCACCAGCACCTCCCATCCAATGTGCTATATCAGTCTTCACAGAGCAGTGGTCCCTCAGACTCTCGGCACCACATATGCAACAAGCCCATCCTTGAGCAGACAGGCAGACTTACTACAGTCATAAATACAATACGAAGATGAACACAGAGGTTGTCTTTCAAATTCAAGGAACCTCTGGGCACTTTACACTTGAAATAGAGGACGATGACCGTGGAACGGGCCTCCATCCAAAGCCTTCCACAGCATGGCCCCTCTCTGCCTTTTAAACCCGCTGCCCTCTGCTGGCTGGATCGGAGCCCCCACACCTCGCTCATTGTAAACGCAATGTGCTCATTTCAGACTTGGTGCCTTTTTCAGGACTGTCTTCTGTCACTGGCTGCCCAGAATGATTTCTTCCTTCGCAACCACGCCAAGTGGTCTCATCTATCAAGCACCAGGCCCACAACTCACTCCTTCCACAAAGGCTTCTTTGACTGCTCCGGCCCATTGGGTGCCTTCCTCTCAGACTCCCCTGGTACTCAGGATTAAAGCACTCTTCTGTGCAGCAGAAATGCTGCCAAGAGTTTCCCAACTCTTCCTTAGGGCCCAGCATTGACTGAGATTGCTAGCCAGCCCCTCCCTCACTCCTGATCCTTCGCCCACGGGCTGCTGCCGCTGTCTGAAGGGAAGACTCAGTGGCCAGAGCCTCCAGATGGCTCACAATACGCAAGGAGTTGCTTCTTTTAATCTTAAAAGACTGACTTATACATGTGGAATTGTCTTGGAGAAGACATGGCAAAAGGCAAAGTAAACAATAAAACAGTGAATAGTAGCTAAGTGGGGTTTTTAAACAAATAAAACTTAAGTAATTTTTACTCTAAAATAGAAGTATTTAAAAAGTTATTAATAAAATGGCCCCTTTTCCTATGGATGTTCTTGGCTGGTGGATAAAGGTGATCAAGGATAGGTCACTGCTTTATATTAATAAGGGTGACCTGGCCGGTGTGGCTCAGTGGGCTGAGTGTCATCCCATGGACCGAGAGGTCCCAGTTCGACTCCCGGTGAGGGCACCTGCCTGGGTTTTGGGCTTATCCCCAGTGGAGGGCATGCAGGAGGCAGCCGATTGATGAGTCTCTCACATCAATGTTTCTATCTCTCTCTCCCTTCCTCTCTCTCTAAAAAATCAATAGAAACATATCTTTAAAAATTTTTTTTAAAGGGTGAAATGATAAAGTCACCCCAAAAGTGAAATGTAAACACACATATTTCCTGAGACATGAGTATCTGAAGTGCCCCCTTTGGGAGAACCTCCGTCTCCTGAGTTCTGTGGTAGGCACATGGCTTCCAAGGCAGACATGCTGATCCGCAAGACAGTCTTGGACACCAGAGCTGCTGCCTTTCAATCGCAGTTTCCCTGAACCATCCACAACGTCTAACATTCACGAGTTCCTCCAATATATTTACATTCACAACTTCAGCCCAAATTATTTCTCCAAATCTGCACCTCAACTTAAATAACGCAAATGAGTGGTTACAAACATGGATAAAGATTTGGAGTGAAAGACGAAACATTCAGATTTGTACATGCATAATATAGTCTTAAACATGTTTTTAAAATCATACTCAGGCCCAGCTGGTGTGGCTCAGTGGTTGAGCATCGACCCATGCACCAAGAGATTCCCGGTCAGGGCACATGCCCAAGTTGTGGGCCCAGCACCCACTGGGGGCATGCAGAAAGTGACCAATCGATGTACTCTCTCATCAATGTTTCTATCTCTCTCTCCCTTTCCCTTCCTCTCTCTCTAAAATCAATCAATCAATCAATCAATCATCAATAAAATCATACTCAGTTTATCAAGTTTTGCCCAAATCTGAGTAGCATTCTATATGAAGGGGACTCCAATGGTAGGGTAACAAAAATTTGGTATAAAAATGAAAACAGGAACTTCTGGTTTAAATTATAAAAAAGCAGCCAGAGCCCAATAACTAGTCATTCAACATCTGATATACTCTCCAGAATGCAGAGGCAGATTAAGATCACCACCGCACTTACTATGACTAAGCCTGTAACAGCGCAAAGTAAGGTTTGGTTCAACTGCACTCGACAATCTAGGTCACAGAGAATTAAAACAGAGAGCCAACTCAGCAAGACTCTTTACATCAAAGAAAGAACGAAGCTTGATTAAATGCATTGCAACTTTTTCCTTAAAGAACTTTTCTCTAAAAAGGATGGGTCCTGATTGCATTATCATTAAATACAATTTTTGTTATTTTTATAAGACAAAGGAAGGGTACAAGAATCAAGTAACAATAGAACTGGAAGGAACATTTATATTAGACATTAAAATTTCAATTTAAAACTCTATTCATTTGAAAGAGTTCTAAGGCTGTTGAATGTAAATGTTCTTATATTTTTTTTGTAGTTGTTAATCCTTACCCAAGGATATTTTTTTCCATTGACTCTTTTTAGAGAGAGTGCAAGGGAGGGAGGGAGGGAGGAGGGGGGACATGGATTAGAGAGAGACACATCGATTGGCTGACTCTCACACATGCCCCGACCGTGGCCAGGGATTGAACCTGCAACCCATGCATGTACCTTTGACCAGGAACTGAACCCAAGACCCTTTGATCCATGAGCCAATGCTCTAACCACGTAGCCACATAGGCCAGGGCAATGTTTTTACTTTTTATTTTATTTTATTTATTGATTTGAGAGAGAAAGAGGAAGGAAGAGAGAGCGAGCGAGAAATCAATTTGTTGTTCCACTTATTTATTCATTCACTGGTTGATTCTTATATGTGCCTTGACGGGGCATAAAACCCACAACCTTGCCCGGCCGGTGTGGCTCAGTGGTTGAATGTCGACCCATGCACCAAGAGGTTGCTGGTTCGATTCCCAGTGCGGGGCATGCAGGAGGTGGCCAATCGATGTTGTCTCTCATCGATGTTTCTGTCTCTCTCTCTCTCTCTCCCTTCCTCTCTCTCTAAAAATAAAGAAAGAAAAAACAAAAACCCACAACCTTGGCATATTGGGACAATGCTCTAACCAACTGAGCTACCTAGCCAAGGCTCTTACATTGCTTTCTACTGGACAATAAATAATAAGATGAGATGGCTTAGCTGTCTCTTAATACAGTTTTAGGAGAAGCAAAGATTAAAAAGGTAATGCCATGAGGACTGACTAGGGCCACAATTGGGGGCGTTGTTCCTTCTAGGCAGGCACTGATTATAGGTACAAATGCAATTCTGATAAATGTTTCTATCTTATGAGAAGGACCTCAGCTACTAATGCACAATGCCAGGAAGACAAGGGCTACTCTGCTGGACAAAGCAAGAGACAGAGACTGCCTGATGCTCTCCCGTGACTGGAGTACTTACGAGGCAGTGAGGTAACCCTCCAAAAAGCCGGCCACAAACATGATGATCTCGTTGCTCAGGGACTGAGAACCATACCCTGCTCTGATCTCCAGGATACCCCAGCCTGTGTCGTTCACAGAGTTGTTATAAAAGCCATAGGCATCCCCATGCTTGTCAAGTACGTCTCTGACTTCTACTGTCTTTTCAATAGGTACCCAGTACGCAGTTGCATAGTCGACTCCTGGAAAAATAAAAAAGGGAATAATGATAGGACGCTATTCAACTGATTTCCTGATGTATTTTTTTTTTTTCCCTATGTCACCAACAATTCCAACACACTTACTTTCTAAGGAATTTCAATCTATTAGAATTGGGAAATCTGCCACTATAGTTTATCTTTGTTGCAAGTGAAGGGAAAAAACAGAGCCTTGATCAAGGGGATGAGCCCATAGCAAAGAGTAAGTTAAAGGCAGGGGCGTAGTTAGAATACC